GCGGTGTGATGTGGGTTAGTGGCATTGAGCACCCTTTGACAGCATCCTACGGCCACTGATGTGCAAATCCTGACTTCATAAGAGTCACAGAAAGAGAGAGGAAGCTTTCCAGAGAAGACACAATGAACAAAGGGTGGCCTTGCTAGAAGTAACTGCGCATAGACAGAAGTGTTATTTAGGAACAAAATCAACTCAGTTCTCATGCAGCTGGTGAGGGCTGAGAAAAAACTGACCCGCTGTATCTAGGAGGAACTAAACTCTCATCAGCAAGTGAGAAAAGCTTGCTGATCTTGAGTTCTTCTGCCTCAAGACACCACACCACAGTGTATTTGCTCTGACTCCCTATTTCAAGTGACAATATTTTGAGCTGCTAATAGGCTTACTCCACTTCCACAGGACATACAAATCTAAAAAACAGTAACACCAGAAGCTAGAACAAAAGCACCGAAATATTTTGTGTGATAAGAACAATATACGCACAGCCTATGGGAACTAAAAATGAAGACTGACTAAAACAGCACAGAAAACCACCTCTACTGAAGTACAGCTAAAGCCACATGATAAATTGACAACATCAGCTGACAAGGGAAAATGATTATCTGGCCATCTCCAAGTTTTTCGTTCCTCATGCTAAGATGGCAGCAATAGGACAGATTTTTCCTAATAAATACAGACAAAGGTCAGATTTAAGTCACAGAATCATAGAATCACTCAGGTTGGAAAAGATCTTAAAGATCAACAAGTCCAACCACGACCTAACCACACTACCCTACCTAACGACCCTCTGCTAAATCATGTCTCAGAGTCATTGTTGTTAGGACCACAGAAAGATACAGGTACACTTATGGCAACAATCTCTTAAAACAGGCCACTCATCATCCACGATTGCACATGATAAACAGCAACTGAAAACTCACCTGAAACATGTTGACATCAAGTGCTCTCACTGGTCCTGTGTGCTTGTCTTTCTGAGCAATTATTGCTTCACTGTTTCCAGCTAAGATTTTGGCTGGGTCATACAGAATGACATTCCCATTCTCACCCCCAGCAATCAGGACTCCGGAGACACTCTCACCTGCAGTCATGCTGTGCGGCCCCCAGATCAGCTTGTGGTACCTGCAAGACAGACAGACACAGGCTGCAGCCATCCATCGCCATAATATGAGCCATAAGCCTGCAGGTGAGCCTCTGCTATCTGTAGGCAGCTGTTTGTACAAGGGAGAAAAAAAAAGATGGAGCTGGAAAAGAATTCCAAAACCTTTCCCTCATCAGTGCTCCTGGAAGTGCAAATATTCCATCTGTAGTATAGATGCTCAGCAAATGACTTACATCAGAAATGCGTCACTTGGACTGCTACCTATTTCCCAAGCTGAATCAGAGGAATCAAATACACGAGAAACACTTTCAAGCCTCTGTGTCACTGCACAAAATAAAAATAAAAATAAAAAAACAAAAAACAAAAAACACCAAACAACCCACACATATTTCCTTCAGATCAAACTTGTTGAATAAGCAAGACAGCATTCCTGGGTGTTCAACCATGTAAAGCATGGTTTTCTTCCAAATTAACAACATACTATCACATCACAGGTGTTATGCAAGCAGAAAGCAAACCTACATTGACTGCAAAGCGTTGATGAGCTACTTTACGATATCAGGTAAACCCTTTCTCTGGGTACCCTGACTTCTGTAATTTTGCATGTAACTATACAAGGGTAGAAGAAATAGAGCGATCAACAGGTTGTCAGAGAATTAGTACTATCATATCATCAGTAACATTCAACAGGTCTTCAGTATCCTAAAAGAAAGCAGAAAAGGCTGAGGAACAAAAACTGGAATCAATCATGCAATCATTTTGCTTTTGCAACTTTGCTCCTTCCAAGATAGGTTCTATTAACAGCAGCCAGAAATTTTCCATAGGAGGACAACTAACAGAACCTGTTACCAGATTCATCTTTTGTGTATTTCTCCACCCAGCCATTTTAATTTGTGAATTGTTTTCTGGGGGCAAAGTCAAACATTCACTGAAGGAAGCACTCATAAAGAAGTATAGCATGCTAGCTGTAAGAAGTGTGTTTTGAAAAATCAGTAAAGCAAATGCCAGTCTGCAAGCTCTGAAAAGTATCAGTTGTATTTCAAAAGGGTTAGAAAAGGAAAAATTCCAGCTTCCAACTCCTCACTCCGCCCTCAGTGGATCAGTAAAGAGCATTAACAGCAGTTCTGCCCACAGCTCAGGCCTTCAGGCACAGTCTGTGGCTCTGCTGGCTCTTCCTCACCTCCCCACATATTACAAAAGCAATGACTGCAGGGCAGTGATGGGCAAGCCCCAGCAGCAGCCAGGGGAATTTTATCGCTACAGAGATGGCACAGATTAAAGCCAGCAGCATAACACTCTGTGTTTCCTCTTGCAAAGCCACTGCAACAGCTGTTTACTCAAATCAGAAAGGCATCTGTAAACAGAGCCACAGCCTCACTGTGTACGAAGACAGTCCTCGTTTCAACCCCTCTGCATCTGCTTACTTCTACAAACCCAGGAAATTGCATTAGGTAAAACTGTCTGATACTGTTAGGTCTTGAAATTACTGACGTGAAGTGGATAATAGAGAATGAAGGTAAAGTTATTTCCACTCTTATCAGAGGTGTGGGAGACAGCAGTTGCTTCTCTGTGAGTACCAAGAGGTCACTCGGACATACCAGGGAATTGCTTTAACTGCCTGCAGCTTCACTCACAGTTTCGTCTCACCACAATTGGTTATGCTACCCCTGAAACTCATATGAAAAAGTCATGGATCTGCTCCAAGTGATGAAAATAGTCACCCCTGTCTCTACTTATCCCGCACTTCCACTGTGATGTGTAGCAACCACTGCTGTGGCTACTAGAGAGCTACTGCAAGCACTGTGCAAGAGGACACGTGGCGCTTAGATGAGAGCAGCATTGCTTCAGAGGAGCACAGGGTAAAGAGCTGAAAACTACCCAAAGCCGTGAGGGCAGGAGCATGGCTTCTCAGATGCACAGAGATGTATGACACCATACATAAGACAGGACCCAGTTTGTTGCAACAGATTAATGCCCTCAAATCACCTACATGCCAAACTAGATGTGCCAGTTTGAAAAATTGATTGCTTCCACAGTTATATCTTTCTGTTTTCTGAGGAATGCCAGGGGCTCCCTGGAGTCAGAAGACACATTCACACCTCCCAGCTAACATCACAGTGAAGTTCAGGGAGCGCACAAGCAGCCTGCAGCACCTGAGAGTCCCAGTTTATTGCCTTCACAATGACATTTGAGCTGTCCCCAATAGCGAGAGCACCCAGGTGCCACTCTACTAAACAGCTGCAGTCAAACACCATGCATTGGTGTTTCGGCACATACCATACGCAGCAGCCCCCATTACTGCTTGCTTACAGCCTCACTGCTACCTGTGAGAGGAAGAAATGACGGCACACGACTTCATGTCCAGTGAAGGGTCTGATAAGTCCAACTCAAATATTTCCAGGGAAGCATTTGTGCTGAAACTTGCATCCAACTGCTGGGCTGATGTGCCTGCAAAGGAACACGATTACCAATGAGGAAGAGATGTCGCACAGCAGATCGGCACAAAAGGGGACATTAAAACCATTGTCCTTGCAAAAAGGACCCTGAGACAGAATCATTTTTTCCAATTAATTATTTAGGAGTGTTTCTATGCAATTCTATCCACAGATCCCTGCAGGGGAGTTTCTTCACCAGTATCAACAAGGAAAGCTCTAGGAGTGTCAGCCTTCCCGTGCCCTAGAGGAACTGTACAACGATATCTAGTCTTCCAAGCACAAGCTGACAGCTTGGCAGCAGCGACCCAAAACTCACCAGTGGCCAGGTAAATGGGGTGCTGCTGGGCAGGACTCCATGCCTGCATGGCAGTGAGGTCAATCTCTTTCAGCTTCATTTTGCTGAAAAGATAAAAACAACGATTAAACGCAAGAAGAGACGAGAAGGCACCCTTCCCCTCAGAACGGAGACTTCTTCCTCAGAAAGACCCTTCGGGAGGCGGGTGGCCTCGAGCCCAATAAGCGAGCGGCTACCGGCGGGCACGCACTCCGCATTTCAAACAAAAAATGAGGCTAAAAACCCTAATGACCGAGAACTCTACCCGCACTCCAGTCCCGGCCCAGCGTTCACCCACTCCCGGCCCGCTCCAACGTGGCAGCCGCGGCGCCGCCTCCCGCTTCCGGGCGCTCCCGGCGCCTTCCGGGCGGCAGCGGGCGGGGCTTCGCCTCTCCCAACCCGGGGCGGAGGGGTGCGGGCCTCCCGCGGGCTCCGCTCAGGGCCGGGACCTAGGGAGAGGGGAGAGACGGAGATCAGGCGGGCCGAAGAACGGGCCCGGAACCACCGTGCGGGGGAAGTAGGGCCGCCCGTCCTCAGTTCGACAGCGCTCGTCACGGCGTGTCAGGATGTGAACAGCACTGAGGTTCATCACCGGACGGGGCCCCGCCCCGCGCCCAGGGCGCCCCTTTCTGATGGTCATTTTCTTACTTTAAACTCAGAGAGGGCGCAGCTAACCTCTCGCCGCGAGCCGGGCCGCCGGCTGCGTCCCCCACGCTGTTCAACAGGCGAGCACCGCGCTGGGAGAAGGCGATGCTTCAACCCTACGGTGCCGCGGGGCCGAGCGCCCGTCGACCACGGCCCTGCTGCCGGGCATCGCTCAGCCTCACAGCCACAACCACAGCAGCGCAGCGCGGCGGGAAGAAGAGCTCCCGCTTCTCGCTCCGCCATATAAAGGAGGCGGAAGCGGCACCACTATTGGTCGCGAGGATCACCGCTCACCATTGGTTGTTTTGTTCCCCACAGGCACTGCTGATTGGTCTCCGAGACGTCTCCCTGCTGCGTGTACGCCGCAGCGAGGCGGAAGTGCGGCGCCTCTCTCCAATTCCACTTCCGGGGGAAAAGCAGAAGTGCCAATAGCGATAAAGAACAGGAGGGCGGGCGGGAAGAGACGTCCAATGAGCGCGGGGCGACGGCGCGCGATGAGGCCGCCATGACGCGGAGCTGCTCGGCGCTGGGCTGCAGCGCTCGCGACAACGGGCGGAGCCGGGAGCGCGGCATCTCCTTCCACCAGTGAGTGCGGGCGGTGGGTCGCAGCCTCCGGCGCTTCCCGCCCTGCCGACCCCTCTCCACCCGCAGGTTCCCGGTGGACGCCGCGCAGCGCCGCGAGTGGATCCGCGCAGTCAACCGGCTGGACCCGCGAAGCCGGCGTGCCTGGAGCCCCGGACCGGGGGCCATCCTCTGCTCGCGGCACTTCGCCGAGGCCGACTTCGAGCGCTACGGGCTGCGGCGCAAGCTGCGGCGGGGGGCTGTGCCGTCCCGCTTCCCCCTGGCGGTGCGTTGAGGGAGAGGGGTTGTGACGGCTCCCTACCGCCGCTAACTACCGCCAGCCGCCGCTAACGGCCGCCGTTCCGCCCTAGGAGCCGCCCCGCGGCCACCCGCGAAAAGTGCCGCTGCGGAGCGCGCTGCGGAGCCAGGACCACACGTACAGCCGCAGCGGGGCAGGGCCGGCCTCGCCCGCCGCCGGCCCCCGCCGCCTCTGCGGGCCCGTCCGGAAGCTGGCAGCGCGCCGCGGGTTGCCGCGGGCCGCGCTGCGGGTGCTGCGGGCGCTGTTTCCAGGTAGGGCCCAGCCCCGCTCCCCGCTGCCCCCCAGCTCCTTGCTGCCCGCGCTCTCGGTGTTGTGTTTGTGAGCAGATCTGCCCCGTGGTGCCCGGCGCTGGAGGCGGCCCGCCGAGTATTGCCCTGCCATGAGACAGTTCGCCTGCCTGCTGCACCTCCGCCACCGCGCCGCCTATGAGCAGCTGAGGAAGGTTTTCCCCCTGCCGCATCCCGCCAGCCTGACCAAGCAAGTCTGCCCCCAGCCCCTCCGTGTGCTTGGTGAGGGGTTGTGTACACGGCACAACCCCTGCATGAACAATTCCAGGGAACCTGCTGAGCTCCAAAGAGCTCTCCCCCCTGTATTGATGTGACAGAGGCTTAATTTAAGGACCTCGGGTGCTGTAGGGGACGTATGTGGTGTAGCAGAAACAAAGGACCACAGAAAAGCTGAGGTCCTCTGACCCCACTTTGGCACACAGGCACAGAAATACTGTTCAATCCGTGCTCTTAGAATTCAGAGCGTAGACATGAGAGAAGGGAGGGATTTGCCACTTATAGGCAGGAAGAGAACTGTGAGTAATGGCCCTTAAATAGAAGCAAGAGCTAAGCAAGCACCTGCTGTACTGCTCCAGCAGCCCAGAGAGTTGGACAGGGCTGCATCCACAGAAAGCAGTAACATTTAACGTAAAAAACTGGGGACTAGTTTTTGGAAAAAGGAGGAGACATGAAGAAAACTTGAGGAAGGGAAGGAGTACACCAAGCAGACAGGATGGGGGCTTGGGTTTTCTTACTTTGCCACATGAGGATTGAGGGAAGTGGCTGAGAATTTGGAAGCGTCTGATTTTAATTTATGGGAAATTCATTTCCAAAACATACAACTGAGTTGCATAACTCTTTGCAAATAAGTGCATGGGCTGAGAATCCATAACCTGTAGTGCTGCCAGAGGCATTAGTAAGGGGTGAAGTAACAGTGCACAACATAAAAGTTGAAGAAAGTCCCTGGCATCTCCACAGACCCTGCCCTAAAGGGGGGGCGGGGGACAGGATGGACTGAGCAGAGTAGGATTAAGCTCCAGATCTTCTCAACCAGCTAAAGGTTTGCAGCATGGAGAAAGCGCATGCTGTGGAGAAAAGCCTGGCTTTGCTGGGCCATTGCAGCACTCCATTGTACTCTGCTCAGTTTCCTTTTTCTGTTGTCCTAATCTCCACTTTAGAGGCAGGAACCCACTTTGTTATTTCCACACTGAAATTTTTGTTTGACTTTCCATCACTGGGCTGCAAGAAAGAAACACGTGTTTCAGTTCACTGTGTGCTGGCTGGCTGGGTCTGCATTGCAGCTCTTTACGTGCCTGATAAAGTTTTTATAAAGTGGTGAACTGTGCTGGCTGTTGCTTCAGTTTTCTCAGAAGCACATCCTCTAACCACATGCTCCTTTTTTTTTTTCCAGCTGGCTGTCTAACGATGCTGCAGCTCCAGGCTTCAGCAATGATATGTTCGTCCAGCTTCAAGAAAAGGTGGAGAGAGGGGAACAGGCCTACTGCTACTGTACCCTGATGGTACAGGATATGTCCCTGCAGAAGAGCCAGGAGTGGGACCAGCAGACCCAGCACCTGACTGGCTTTATTGACTTGGGAGCAGGCAGCCTTGATGCTGATGAAGCTCCGCTGGCCTCAGAAGTGGTAGTTGTCATGGCAGCCGGTATCTCAAGCCCTTGGAGGGCTCCCCTCGGCTACTTCTTTGTGAGCAGCGTGACTGGTTGCCTGCTGGCTCAGCTGCTTCGTCAGGCCATCAGTAAACTGAACAACATTGGTGTCACAGTGCTGGCCGTGACATCGGGTGCCACCGCATGCGGGGCTGAGACGGCGAGAGCTCTGGGGGTCAGGATCAACCCCCAAAGGATCCGCTGTGCTTTCCATCACCCGCCCAGCTCCACTCACTGCATTGCATACTTCTTTGATGTTTGTCACGCTCTCCGGTTGATAAGGAACACACTGCAATACTTCCAGAAGATACAGTGGCTCAGTGACACTGTGCAGTGGCAGCATGTGGTGGAGCTGGCAACTTTACAGGAGAAAAAGCTGTTAGGGCCCACATCAGGCCATCCAGAGAGCAAAGAGACTTGCCAGCTAAAGGTCAACCTTGCTGCCCAGTTGTTCAGTGAGGGTGTTGCTGATGCACTGGAGCACCTCCAGAAGCTGGGCCTGGCCTCATTTCAGAACTGTGGTGGTACAGTCAAGTTTCTGCGTACGATGAGCCGTCTGTGCGATGTATTTCATGGCAGAGGTCCCTACTGCAGTGGACTGAAGGGGCCTTTGCTAGCTGGAAATTACAACAAAATCAGCCCCCTCTTCCATGAGGCCAAGAGCTTCTTTGTTACCTTAACAGACTCTACAGGGAGATACATTATTAAGAGCAAACGCAGACTGGGCTTTCTGAGTTTTTTGCTCAATGCTGAGAGCCTCAAGTGGCTTTACAGCAACCCTGTGCTTCAAGAGGGTGCTCCTTCTCACCGCCTCCTGACCTCTGCCTTCAGCCTTGAGCCGTTGGAGCAGTTTCTCTGGGCTCTCCGGCAAGCCTGCAGCGCTGGCAGTGGGAACCCCACCTGTGCCATGTTTCAGGCTGCCTACTGCAAAGTGCTGGCTGGCTGCAGCCTGGCCCCAGACACTCTGCACAGCACAGCAAGTATAAGCAGCTTGGACTTGTCCCTGTCTCACAGGACAGACCTTACCCTTGGCAGCATTTGTTCTCAGTATAACCCAGCTCATAGGCCGATGCTGGCAGCAGAGCTCCCTTGTGCTGGCCTTCTTTTGCGTGACTCTCCTCTGAGCAATGCACTTACAGACCTATCACTGCACAAGCAGAGCATCACCTTTGCTGCAGGCTTAGTTGCTGAGCAGTTAGCCTCCAACTTGCGATGTGAGGCTTGTGTTGCATCCCTCTTTGAGTCAGAGAGCAGGCTAAGGTGCGGAGCAGTGCTCTACATCAAGAAGTTACACGGACTAAGCCTGCCCTCAGCAAGCGTGCACCACGTGGCATACATTTCTGAACAAATCCTGAGCAGGCACAGACAATTGGGAGATAACAACAAGAACTCTAAGTTACATTATTTGTCTCTAGAACAGAAAATTTTCCATGAGCTTCTGGGACAAAATCACCTCTTCCCTACCCTTTCTGAGCACCTATTTGAGGGGGAATTGCACACTGACAATCACTACTCAATCTTAGTGAAGGGAATAGCAGAGTGTTACTTAAACATCAGAACAAACCAAGCCCAAAAATTGAACTTCAGTTACCACTGTGGCAGGCACAGATTGAAGAAAGTGAAGGGAAAGCATTTGTTCCCATCACAGCTAGGTAGCTGTTGGTCAAGCCAAACCCATGCAGGATCATGAATATTTATTGCTGTCCTCCAGCTCAGTGGCCAGATCCATGCAATAGGTGCCCAGCAAACCACATGGTGTCTTTCCATGATTTGCCATGCAAAACTAGTGTTGACGAGTGATGACTTGGGACACTGTGAATGTTCTGACCCCAGTTTGAGTAGGCAAAGCAAGGAAGTCCATCTAGCAACCCTGTGAAGCAGCCACATATTTCGTGCAACTCAGGGCAAATCAGGATAGGAAGCAGTTGCTTAAAATGCCTGGGGAGGTGGCAAGGGACAGCATGGTGTCTGCTCCTGATGCTGGCTAGCATAGTGCTGTGAGTGCTCTTGCTAGGAGAAAAGATGCATCCATATTTGCAAGGGGCAGGGGGGTGGTGTGCTGCTAACTCGATTTTACCATTAGCAGATTTGTGATTAAATCAGCTGGAACTAAGAGACTCTAAAGGGAAAATGCTTAAAAACAGAAATAAATCATACGGAAACAAAATGGGACTTGAGTTGTGCATAGAGCTGATGAGCCAGGCATGCAAGCTCTTTAAGTCTAGAACGTGGTGAAGAGAGGACTACAGCAACTGCAAAGTTGAACCCATGCGTCTCACAAATGAGGTAGTGGATGTGAAGCAAACACTTGTCATTCAAGGCACAAGGGCAGTGCTACTTAATCACTTGTGCAGGAGCACCACACATCTATGTACACACGTGCTGCAGCACAGGGAGTGTTTCAGGCCCCATACATGGCCCCCATGAGATCCCCCCAGTCACTGTGCAGCACAACCCTTCATCCTAGAGCTGGTGTTCCATCTGGTCTTGTGCCCTGAGCTGCAAGACAGGTCTGTCTCATCCTTAGACACTGTTTTCCTTGAACAAAGCAATAGGCCAGGTTTCTTCAATCGGTTCAGTATTGTGGTGAGGAAGGTGCCTTGGTGTGCCACGTTTTACCTCCAACAGGAATTTCATGTAACTCATTGCACTGCTCACTTTTTGCTACACAGAACAGAGGTTGCATCCATGGAAATAGGAGGGTAGCATTTCCCACACAACCCTCTGGCTCTCCAGTCCAATTACCCATGCAAAAAGCCATCACTAACTGCCACGAAACCAGTTCAGCCAGAATACATTTTGCAGGAAAACATCTCCCCTCATACATATGTGTATAGAAAATGCTTCCAGAATCCCTATGGTTGGTTAAGCTGCATGCTACTGCATTTGAGTTAGAATATTTGCACTGCCTAAACCTCCAGCCACAAGATGAGATGAGTCACAGGGGAGCAGGCACTTCCTTGCTGCTTTTTTTTCGGCTGGATAGTTGCCTGCTACCACTTCCTGTTTACATCAGAGTGAGTCCGTCTTGCTTGACACAGACTGAGCCTTCTCCCCAAGGGGATGCTCGTAGACAAAAAATGTGAAAGACTCTGACCTCCGGTGATGCCCATGACCAACGTAGTTCATCCATCCTTCTGCACTTCACTTAAATATTGATGAAAGAGTTTTCAAAACACTGCTGAAGTTCCCCAGGGTTTAGCAGAATTAGGCCTGAGCAAGAAGTACATATTAGAAAACAAACAAACAAAGAAAAACAAGTTGCAGTTACCAGATAACCTAAGAAAGCCATCTGATATTCAGTGTAAGCTTGACAGTTGTTACAGGAGTCCTGTATAAATTAAACATTCATTTCCAAAATACAGAGCAGCTGTTGCCCAGCAGAAATGCTTTTAGCTGTTCTCACACTTCAGGAACTGCCAGGTTTCAGAGGAACTGTTGAGTGCAGTTATTGCCAGGGAATTTTCCTCACCGCGCCTGTTCAGTCTCTCTTCTCAGCACCATCTCCCTGTGCAGATGTTCACCATCTCTGAAGCACCCACACTTGTGCCAGCACTCTGCACTTCTGGAATCCTACAAACTCACTCAAATCACTTTGATATAATAATTTATTCTCTCAGTCTTCTATTGTACCCTTGTCATCGCATATTTTCAAGTTCATGTATTATCACATGAAACTGTTTGCTTTCCCTGAGCTCTGCTCATCCTCCTTTTTATCCTTTTCACCCCTCCTGCAGATGCTGGCAATCTACACTCACTGGAGCTGCTGCCACATCTCCAGGGCTGCTCCTGCAGCCTGATACCATCTCACAGTGCCAAGAGCCAGAACACTAGCTGCATTGTTACATGCCATGCACGGCAAGGTGTGAAAGTACACTAATATCCAGTGGTTTATCTCTGGTAGAATTCAATCACATATTGGAAAGTCAAGGCAGTACTAAACATTTACAGAATAGTATAAATGTTTATTTCCTTTGTGATTTATCTGACTTTTATTTTTACAATATAGAAAAGTGTATTCTTTGAATAGGTCTAGTAAATATAAATTTAGTTTTTCTACTTTCAGATGTAAACAGAACTACAAAATGAACCCTTGTCCCATTCCCAATTATTTTCACACAACTGCATGAGCTTGACTGTCAATCTTGTCCAGCAGTTTGATGCAAATGGCTAAGGAAGTACAAAACCCAATCCGCACATATTATACTAGTGAAAAGGGAAGAGAAGAATCCCAGCTTAATATTGAAGAAAGCTTGCTCAAAACAAAATTGAGAAACTAAGAGCTTTTTGATTGCACCTTCAAAGTCTTTAGAAGCAAAATATTCTCAAGCAATGCCATCATACATAATTACAACTGTAATCTAAATTTCACAAGTTTCTGCACACTGTATATAAATACACATCACAAAAGGTGCAATTTAGAGAAAGACACATAATATATACAAAATTAACATGGATTGAAGTCTAAACAAAAGAAGGCATATTGCAATCTGTTTGAAAAATAATGTAAGTAGTTTTTACTTTATTCACTTACACTAATTTACATTTATACAAATCTTACTGGACGTACTACATTAGGTCACTAGAAGTAAACTGAATATCTGCACTATGTAGGTTGCTCTGGAAGTAACGCCTCATTTATTTCCACGTAAACTGCAACAAAGAGCACAGCAACAGTATTTGATAGAGCAAATTCTCAGCTGCAACACACTTTTTCAGTCACCACTTTCAGCTACACGTTTTCACCAGCAATGAACGAGAGCCCATGTGCCATGCTCGTAAAAATCTGCACCAGAGGTGACCCGCAGTCGCCACTGTTAAAATGCACAACCAGAACCTCACTGTGCTCACATCCACTGCTTGGTCTCCATCAACATTCAGCAAGAGTTGGTGAATGTCAGCGGGTGCCATTTTTTCTGCACGGAGGAATTCAGTGACACACCTTCTCTCATATGTACCTGCATGTCAGATGCCCTTCTGTCAGACTGCCTCAACAGAATGTTGGCAGGAAGGTTCAACCTCTCCTGCCATGCCACTAACATCTATCTGCCTCTAACATTGTGAGCTAGAGTAATAAAATAGGAGGCATTACTTTCAGAGCAGCCCTTGTACATGTAAGAAGTTATTGTACTGACTTTTAATAAACCCAAGTCTTAATTACAGAAAAAAAAAACCAAAACAGACACTTACTTACAGAAGAGATGGATGGATTCCCTTTTCAGAGATTTGCACTAATATACTTGCAGTTTACACTCAGGGAGATGTTACTAAACCAGACAGAGCCTTTCTGATAGTGACCAGTAGTCCACATCTGATCTCCAACAGCCACCTGACGGGCCTTCCATTGCTGCTGGCCACCTTCCAGTCCTTTGTGCCCCCAAGCCATTCTAGGGGGAGCAGAAGCCTCCTCCATCTTTTTGCCATCTCACACACATGTAGGCATTTGGCTCTGCTAGAAAACCTGGAGGAAGAGCTCTGCTGCATCTCTCTGTGTTTACAGCTTTACATGAAGATAAAAAATCCTTTTTGGAAAAACCTAGCTACATTGTTCAGGGAACAGAAAGAGTTGTTAAAAATGCCTGCGATTAAACATGGTTATTGACATTCACATTAGTAAGTAACCTATGAGATTGATTTTGCAAAGATGTTCCACTATCAAAAAAGTGATCTGAGACTGCCTGTAACAAATACTGGAAAATTCCCGTCCCATTCTACATACAGCTCTACCTTGATTTGTGTTTTGTTGGTATACTTTCCTCCCCCCCCCTTTTTTTTTTTTTTGTTTTTGAGCCAAAGGATCCACACACCTGTTTTAGCAGCAATCTTGATTCTGTGCTAGCATCCTCTCTGATCACTGTGCTCTCCATCATTCTAAACAGCCCTCAAAAAAACCCAAACCCAAAACAAAATCTTTAAAAGCCAAATAGACCACCACAATTTCAAGTAGCACCATGAAGACCCACAACCAGGCTGAACATGATATCTCCTCCTGCACTTGCAGGTCAGTTCAGATTCAGATTGTCCTGAGTCCTCATTAAGACAACTGTAGCACTCCTGTCTCCTGACCCTCACCTACTCAGGCTCAAAACAGCTTAATCCTTGAAAATGCAACAGCCTGCACAGCACTACCTGCAGAGAGGATTGAGCTGCTGCAGAGCTCTGAACACCAAGCTTCACTCAAGCAACAGCATCTGCCTGCTGCACAGGCAGAGTAGCATTGCAACATGGCTGTTCTTCCTCACTTTTAAGAGCAGACCACTATCTTAGCCTCTGAGTTCCATTAAAAATAACCAAAGAAACAACAAAACATTGAGCCTTCACCCATGATTATCTCAAAAATTTTCCATTATTCTATTGCCTCAGAATTCCTTAGGGCCCACTCTAGTGAGGTTCCCAAACGCTTGTTGACAATAAACCTGCAAGCAACCACTGTATACTCGCCTGTGTATTTCATACCGCTCTGCTCATGAAGGAGCATTACGCCGTCAGGTCCCAAGTGTAGGTACTACCTTCCATTCAGATGCTGATTTTTATACATTTCCTTTCAGAAGTGACTGATACACATATACTCCTCACTGTGGGCCTGTTGCCTCAGTATCTTTCTTTGTTTTCCAGCACAAAGCAACACAACTTTATGTACTGTAAATAATATATTATAATAATTTATATATGCCCTTCAGGCAGTTATTTTTGGGGAAAGGGAAGAAAACACCTACTCTTTTTTTCCTTTAAGAAACCCAAGTTAAAAGCTGTACATCAGGAAGAAAAAATGTCTTTTAGGAGTTATCTTATGCAGAAGAGAATTTAGCTAAGACTTAAAAGGCTCTAAATCTTGTTACAAAATATTTCCTTGTTTAATCTTCTGCAAGTCAATTAAAACAAGCACCAAATTGGCAAGTGTTACTAAATCCTCTATTCCAAATCAAAGTGTCCCTGTGCCTTAAGTGTTCTGTTCAGTTTGCTTCATTGTGGCTCATGTGCACGCGTCAGCAGTTCATGGCACAAGGGTCACTTTTGGACTTCCCTGCAGAGTTAATAACTCTCATCAAACAGCGTCCAAACTCCTCCAGGATCATGCGCTCCGCTGCTGCTTTCGACTTGCCCATCTTCTCAGCTTGCTCTGCCTGCGCCAGAAGGCATTCACAGGTTGCATCGGCTACCTCCTTG